ATAGTATCGGATAAAATTTGGATACACCCCAATTTGAATCCAATCCAATCCATTTGCATCACTAATGCATATTTGTATTTATTATTTTGCACTCTTCCCAAACAAAGCCTAAGGATTTGTATTAGGCTCTATATACTAATACATATTTGTATTAGTCTTTATTTATAGTGCAAATTTGAACCAGATACGAATTTTATATCCAGTTCATCCCTTTGCTTGCAATCATGATTTAACTCTTTTACCCAGTATAAAATTTGTACTTTTTGTCTTATTTGCACTCTAGAAGTGCAAAATTTGTATCCCAAAAATCGTGCCACCTTCCCCCTACCTCAATTCTCTATGTATAAAGTGGGATCAAATCTTATTGCTTCATATCCTACCTCACTCCCAAACAAATAACCCTCTTACCTCCATTCTCCTTCATATAAAAGGTATGCCATATAACTTTACTTTTTATTGTACTTCTCACGAACAAACAAGCCAAAACTTAAATCTGAAAGAAAGGTAAATTATAAAAGATAAATTATAATTTCCACTTAAGCTTACTTTGGAAGGATTACAAATACAAATATATACGGTATAAATTTATACAAAATATAAGATTTTGTGCTCTACATATTTATATTTATACTCCTTCCAAATGGAGCCTTATCGTACAAATCAAATTAGAACGGAAAACAAACTGAGCCTAGAAGCACAAGCTAGCCAGCCAAAAGAAAGTGAGATAGATCACGCAACCACAATCAAAGATTTATATTTCTTAATATTTCCTACATCTAAATTTCTGCTGATATCATGAAGGATTGCACCTCTACAACAAATTGACAAAGCCAATAAGGTGGTTCTGTTGTCAATAGTACAAATAGCGGTGGCAATTGGGCGGGTTGGGTTGGGTTGGGTTTGGTTTGGTTTGAGCTTCAACTCAATCCATCTAACTCGCCAACTCATTAATGACTCAGTTATATAAGCTTTAATCCAATCTAAACTGTCCAAACCCATTAATTTTATATTTATGGGCTTAAAAAACAAACTAACTCTCTTTTAACAAATAAGTTTGTCATAGTTTGGTGGTAATAGTAGTTACTATTTGTATAAGTGGTGAAGGTTCAAATCACATTATATGCATGCTCTTTTTACATAAGCGGTGAAGCCATTTGACTATGTTCGGATTTCGGGTTTGATCGAACCACTTAGGTTCAAACCGATCGAATCAACTTAAACTATCTAATTGGATTATCTTCGAGCTAATCACATCAAGGGTGGTTGAACCGTTCAGATTTGGATCAGTCTGGTTGGACCGGACCTGACCGGTTCAGTCAATGGTGGATTGACTTGGACTGGGCCATATCAGGTTTATGCACAGGTTTGGGACCGAACCAACTGATCCGAAGTGGATTGGCGCAAGTAAATCGGGTCGGTCCAGATTCGGGTCGGGTTGTGCAGCTATTGGTTAGAGTGGATGATCCAGACTGGGCAAAGCAAACGTTCAACGAACCATCCCAACCTGAACTGTTTTGGATTCGGGTCGACTCGGATCGGCTTGTGCCGGGTCAGGCTGCATGAGTATTGGGTAGGGACTGCCCAGCGGTCTAGTGTCAACCATCTATTTTTTTTTCTACCTTTGTGGCAGTATTTGTATTTAGGGGTGGCAATTTTTCGCCCAACCTGCTGAACCCACTCAATCTGCCCATTTACTTGACGGGTCGTGTGATCAATCCATCACCCAATCCATCCATTTAAATGGATTGGGTTGTGGATAACTATTGGGTTAACTATAACAGACATAAGTATGAATTAAATAATTTATAATTAATGCATTAATTTTCTATTAATTATTGACTAAATTTAGTTTTGTCTTGAATCAACACACTTCACCTAACATAAATCCAAATCAATTTGACCCGAGTTTAAACCAATTCAACGCGGTCTGACCCGATTCAGCATATACCGATCTGAGTTAAACCAAATCCGAAATAGGCCTCGGGCGGGATGGTTCGGTACTGCTTGCTTCCCAGTTTGCTTCGCCCAGTCCTTACCCAATATCCATTCATTGTACCGAGAAACCTAAAACCCAACAGATGGTCTAAGGAGTTTTGGGCTTAACGGTTAATAATTCATCTTCCTTCCAGTTCTCAGTTATATCTGTTTACTTATTTCGAGCCAAAATTCTTTAAATTGTTCTTCATAAATAAGTTTCATTTAGATGCATGGAATAGAGGATTTTGCCAAACGAGCAGGTTTAACAGATTCGAACTGAGGAAGCCAGTTGCTAAGCCAGCCAGTGGAGTGGGGAACGTTATCTAATCTTATGGGCATAGAAAACATAAAGGCAAGTTCAACCATTCGGATCGAACAGCTACCTTTTTTAGGTCATGGGGTAGGTTTTAGGCTTCTCTACTCCTTGAAATAGGTCCAATGCTTCAAATACCTGTATTTTGTGTATCAACGACACATCAATATTGTCTTTGGTTGGTTACAACACTTCTATTTGTCGAGTTATATGGGGATTCCTCCTTTCTTTATACCATGGAAGTTCATGCAAAGACTAGAAGACATCATGGAGAAAACCAATCCATCCATTATAAGAGATTCAGTAATGGTCCGTTTGGTTCGCATAACCATGATAAACCATGATGATGTTTGTTATGGGTGATATACTGGGTTGTGATGAGAAAAAGCAGCACAACGATAGTGAGAAAAAGTTGTCAAGGGTGTACTGTTTTCATCTCCCACTCCTATAACGGCCCAAACTCCAACTATCCTTCATCTCTGGCAAAGTTTATGGTCTCCGGTAAGCACTTCCGTCCTGTTTTACGCCATTTAAAGGTTATTTGGCATTTTATTCGACTGAAAATCTCAATCCCTAGACAGCAACGAGACAGGTTTTCGTCTTCTTCTTCTCCAGTGAAGTAACATGTAGAGGTGTTTTGTTTGCATTGTTCTTTTTTTTTTTTTTTTTGCATTTTAATCAAGAACTCTATTTTTTTTCTCCACGTGTTTCAGTTGCCTACGGACAACGAGCACAGGTTTGTCTTCCAAGTTCTCTTCCTCATCCTTTGCGAAGGTCAGATCTGGTGTCTTCAAAATTATCTTCTTCCCATGTCTTTCTCATTTGCTAACCCCTTTTATTGTGTTGGTAGATCTAAACCCCCCTTTTTTTTTGTTATAAACCCCTGTTTATTGTATAAATTTGCTAAACCCAAAGTGGTTTGTTGCTGATCTAGCGTGTATTTAATTTTTTTCATGATTTATTTGTCCTAACAACACAAATACCTTTTCTGGATCTGTTCTTGGATCAACCAGCTATTAGATACAAATTAAATTTCATGTTCTATTCTTGGATCAACCATGCCTGTTCTTTTCCCTATTCCTAAAGAAACCCATTCGTAGTAAAAAATAATTCTTGTGTTGGTAGTCACTTTAATGGTTATATCAATATTATACTTGTTTAAATGATGATTGCAAATACCTGGTTGTCTGGTTGTTATGAACCTAGGGAAATGACTTATGATATTTGTGTTTGATGAAATTATGTTAACTATTACAAATAGGCTATATCTTTAATATATAGGAGTTTTTAATTGTGCCATGTCAACATAACACATGGCAATGTTCAAATATTATTATTCCATGTCATCCCCAAAATAAGTCTTGCATTATGGAATTAGAGATTGCATAGATTTATCAATTCTTAAATGAATTCAACCATCCTACAAAATTTTCTCAACAACCAAACACGTGACAATTAAAAAAATAAATTTTCCTTTTTAATCCCATCCGATCTCATCTCATCCTTTCTTGGCAACCAAACAGAGTTTAAAGCTTGTCATTGACCAAGGGATTGTTATGATATGTTAAAAGTGCATAACAATGAGGTTTCATTGAATTCTATTATTCCCAATCTTGTAAATGTTATATTATCCACACTTTTCTGTTGCAGAACAAAAACCTATTCAGGCACCTCACCTAACAGATTAAGCTTTTAAGGTGGAATGGCTTCCTGAGATGGTATCAAAACCCATTGTTTTCAAAACCAGACCAGACCGAATGATTGAACCAGAAACCAGTCACCTAACCAGTTCCATTTTCCGCCAAAACTGCTTTTTCCCTCAAAATCATTGATTTTGGTCAACAAACCGCTGAACCAGCCAGTTAAACCGTTCGAATGATTTTGACCATTTTGCAATTTTTTTATTTTTTTTTATTTTTTTGTCAGAACAGGCCAACCATTCGGATCGAACGGTCGGACCATTCAAACCAATAACCAGACCCCTGACCGGTTCGGTTTTAAAAACCATGTGAAAAGACTCAAAACCTATTCAGGAACTTCACGTAACAGGTTAAGCATGATATCAAAGCTTATTTGAATAACTTTCAGAACGAAGTATGTACAAGTGGTGCTTATTCATGATTCAAGTTTGATAGGCTTTGTGATGGGGCATGTTAGAGAATAGAAATTTACTTCATGAACCTCAAGTATACAGCAGCGGGTGAGTGAGGGGCTGGGGCAATGCAATTGTGCAAATGCAAATCGAGAAAGACTGTACTCTGTACGAAAAAGCGTCGGGATCTGCTACCACAAGACGCTACAGCCGCACATATAGAATCAATTCCATTTCAAGTACGAAACATATTCCGTATGCACGGCTGTTGGGTAGCAGATTCCGTCTCGTATGATTATGAAAAAGGCGTTAGGTCGAGGCAAGTACTGATATTAAAATTAATAAAATTTTGGTATATTGAGGGAGGGCCCCTCCTCTGCCTTTGCCATCTTTCAACTTTCGGTCCAACAGTTCTTGGCTTCCTTTTGCAGGTTGCTTCTGTCATGGTGACTAAAAAATCATGTTGGTTTCGAATTTCGAATCTCTCTGTTCAAGACACCAATAGAGCCCTTCTTATAACAAGACAACAAAAAACAACCATCAGCTTTGGACTAGCTTAATGAACTCCTGGTCCCTGTATTTTGATTCGCACCATCACAGTTGAAATCAGACAATCAGTTATGCCAAAACCATTCTAAAGCCTTCTCATGGAACTTGATTTAAGTTCGTAGACTATACTGGAAATTCAATCATGCTTCCTTGATTACTAGAAGAAAAGGATATGAACCAAGGGCAAGTCAAATAATGAAATCAATTATGGAGGACCCAGAGAATCCTGAAAATACTGAACAACAACAAATATGAGAACCCCTCCCAAAAATTACTAAAAAAAGGAGGAAAATAACATGAGAAAGGATAGTGACGAAAAAAGTAAAAAATCAATCAGTAGACCTACTCAAGTTAGCGATTCTTGGGGGTCAAGATCTCTTCAGCTTCTTTGAAAGGGATATCAACCCAGTCCTTGTCTTCTCTGATAGCTTGGTCCCACCGCTGCCCGTAGATTTGAAGCTCCGAGGTTGATTGCCTCCTTATCTGCTCAACCGGATCTCTTCAGCTTCTTTGAAAGGGATCAACCCAGTCCTTGTCTTCTCTGATAGCATGGTCCCACCGCTGCCCGAAGATTTGAAGCTCCGAGGTTGATTGCCTCCTTATCTGCTCAACCAGATCTCAAACACAAAGAACCTCTTAGCTCTTACTAAAGAAGTATGGCATTCATGTCGTTTACATATGAGTTCAGATCTCCAGCACTTCCATTCATCTGTGACTTAAGTGTTCCTTTACATGTCCTATGGGACTCATGGGACATCTATCACAGCCTGAATGGAAATGTGGGAGAAAAGTGGAGGGAAGAAGTGCAGGAGACCTGGAGTCCTTATTGCTCTTGATAAAAAGCAAGATATTTAGTAAAATAATGACTTCATGATATACATCTTAAAAAAGTGTTCCTATCAACAAATTACACGTTTATAATACCTGGACGTTGCTCAGGTTTTCTCAGAGCAGAACAAGGGTACTTCACAGAGAGGTACATACTTGGGTACAGAAAGGGGTCTTTGTGTTGATACAGCGACAGGGATTTCCCTCCCCCATCTCT